CAGTTGGCTCCGGGCATTCAGAATGTGGCCCGGGAATGGAGTTCTGGGAAATCGAAAAGCACGAAGTGTGTGACTGTATGCAAAAAACGATCCCCCCCGGAAAACCCCAACGGCTCCCCAACGGCTGCCCAGACCCCCCTGTGGAGTAATGTGCTGCTCTCTTTTTAGACCACTAGAAACCTACCAGTCTTCGATGTTAGGTAAAAATTACCCTGCGACGTACCCAACCCACGTGCATCAAATGGCAAGAGGAATATGCCAACATTAGCAGGAACAGCGACAGTGTAGACGCGGCGATTTGCTGTGCTAGCTACATGGGATGCGCATGCGTTGCACGATTCACAAGACGATGATCGAAAGAACGAGGCTTGAGGCCCCAGGATCGAAGAAGAACGGGTACGGGAACGAGGGGTAGGAGAGGGATGGAATGGAGGGCGGGGGGGGGCGAAAGGCCATCGCGGAAGCAGCAGCATGCATGGAGAAGGCGAGGCGGGGAATAGGACGACGATGAAAGTGGCGGGAGGAGACAGAAGACTGCCGCGTTTTTCAAGTGCGAGCTAAACCCGCAGCGCTGCCTGCGCCATGTCGTCGCAGAGTTCCACATGATAAAACTAGTTTAGAGTGCAAGGAACGAGCGAGGCGTAGCTCGCCCGCTAGCTTCTCCGCCTCCTTCCCGCACATTTCAGCGCGGGAGCTGAACGCTCGCAGGCGCGCCGCCAGGTCTGCGGGCGGCCCGCGGGAAAGAAACTCAAGGCCGGGGTCGCGCATCATCAATCGGTTGTCCATCGTCCAAAGTTGCACTGGCGACGTACTGGTTGAACGCGGAGCGAGCAGCATCACGCGCGTGCCTGAACGCCACGCAGGTACAGTGCACGCGCGATTGGGACTTCAGGTCGATCACGCGCGTCTCCACCAGGCTTGGCAACACCACGCGACTGAGGATCTCACTGCGGTCTGCCATGCTGCTGTCCGCGAATGCAATGCGCTGCCTGCAAGTAAGGCGGCGGCGTCCACTTGTCTCAGAAGATGTTCCCGCGGGCCCGAAGGGCGACCGCCAGCTCGAGCCGCGGCGCCGGCAGGCCAGATAAGGATCATGCAACAGCAAAGACGATGACAGAGCAACGAGGTATCGGCGAGTGCATGACCGGCCTCCGTTTCCTGCACTTCTTTCCTGTAGTTCCCCTAGCTCATCGAGCTCAGCAGATGTTTCTGCGGGTCCGAAGGACGACCGCCAGCTCGAGTCGCAGCGCCGACGAGCTGCATCCACATCAGGCAACACCCCAGGAGACACTGGCACACAACGATTTGACGTCAGTCAGTGCCAGACCACTCCATGTCTAGTTCCTCGCACACATACAGTCGATCGCAGATGCGGGATAATCGTAGTAGAATGACGGGTCCAATCTGCGTCCGCGTAGGACGTCACTATGCTGGACCCCGCAGCAGGTCTCGAAAGTGGCGACAGTTTCATGGGCCCCACAGCAGCCCTCGAAAGTGGCGACAGTTTCACAGATCGTAGCCCCCCAGCGCTGGCGAGGTCTAATCTGAGTCCCCGTAGGACGTCACTCCGCTGGCCCCCCAGCAGCCTTCGAAAGTGGCGACAGTTTCACAGATCGCAGCCCCCCAGGGATGGCGAGGTCTAATCTGTATCCCCGTAGGGCGTCACTCCGCTGGGCCCCCCACGCAGCCTTCGAAAGTGGCGACAGTTTCACAGATCGCAGCCCCCCAGGGATGGCGAGGTCTAATCTGAATCCCCGTAGGGCGTCACTCCGCTGGGCCCCCCAGCAGCCCTCGAAAGTGGCGACAGTTTCACAGATCGCAGCCCCCCAGGGATGGCGAGGTCTAATCTGAATCCCCGTAGGGCGTCACTCCGCTGGGCCCCCCAGCAGCCCTCGAAAGTGGCGACAGTTTCACAGATCGCAGCCCCCCAGGGATGGCGAGGTCTAATCTGAATCCCCGTAGGGCGTCACTCCGCTGGGCCCCCCAGCAGGCCTCGAAAGTGGCGACAGTTTCACAGATCGCAGCCCCCCAGGGATGGCGAGGTCTAATCTGAATCCCCGTAGGGCGTCACTCCGCTGGGCCCCCCAGCAGCCTCGAAAGTGGCGACAGTTTCACAGATCGCAGCCCCCCAGGGATGGCGAGGTCTAATCTGAATCCCCGTAGGGCGTCACTCCGCTGGGCCCCCCAGCAGCCTCGAAAGTGGCGACAGTTTCACAGATCGCAGCCCCCCAGGGATGGCGAGGTCTAATCTGAATCCCCGTAGGGCGTCACTCCGCTGGGCCCCCCAGCCTCGAAAGTGGCGACAGTTTCACAGATCGCAGCCCCCCAGGGATGGCGAGGTCTAATCTGAATCCCCGTAGGGCGTCACCCCCCAGCAGCCTCGAAAGTGGCGACAGTTTCACAGATCGCAGCCCCCCAGGGATGGCGAGGTCTAATCTGAATCCCCGTAGGGCGTCACTCCGCTGGGCCCCCCAGCAGGCCTCGAAAGTGGCGACAGTTTCACAGATCGTAGCCCCCCAGGGATGGCGAGGTCTAATCTGAATCCCCGTAGGGCGTCACTCCGCTGGGCCCCCCAGCAGCCTCGAAAGTGGCGACACGCAGCCCCCCAGGGATGGCGAGGTCTAATCTGAATCCCCGTAGGGCGTCACTCCGCTGGGCCCCCCAGCAGCCCTCGAAACTAACGACAGTCTCGCAGATCGCAGCCCCCCAGAGAAGAGAGGAGGAGGCGGGAGGAGGCGGGAAGGAAGGAAGGAAGGAAGGAAGGAAGGAAGGAAGGAAGGAAGAGGAAGGAAGGAAGGAAGGTGGAGACCGCAGTGCTCTATTCAAAACGAGTACCCAACGCAGGAGGGTTGGGAAAAAAACCCAAGAGGGCCCCAAGACGGCCCAAGAGGGCCCCAAAACGGCCCAAAGAGGCCCCCAAGACGGTCCAAGAGGCCGCGAAGACGGCCCAAGAGGACCCCAAGAGGGCTCCAATGCGGCTGCGAGATGCCCCCAAGACAGCCTCCGAGGGGGCGAAACGGCGCAAAAGCGCCCCAAAACGGCCCAAGACACCCGCAAAAGGCCCCAAGAGGCCCCCAAGAAGCCCCCCAGAAGCCTCCAAAAGGCCCCCCCCCCAAAGGCCACACAGCGACTGGAGTGTAATGTTATTTCCCCCCCTCTGGGCGAACTGCGGCGCAGCGCCAGCCAGGTGGGAGTTGGTCAATGCGGCGCCCATGATTAGAGCAGGCACTGGAAGGGAAGATGGGGAGGGTGTATGAAAAGGAGGGAGGGGGAAAGGCCCCAAAGAAGTCCCCAAGAGGCCCCAAGAAACTCCCAGGAGGCCTCCAGGAGGCCCCCAAGAGGCTCCCAAGAGGCCCCGCGACGACGAGACTGTACGTGCTCCGGACGTGCACCCCGCGAAGCGAGAGGAATCTACCGGTAGCACCGACAATTCAAAAATCAATAACACGCTGTCCGATCAACCGTCGCGCCCCAAGGAGGACAAGAGGTCGTACAGTAAGCAAGGCGGGTGTGGAAGATCGAGGAGGAGCGCCAGGGTAAACCTAGGATGCGTCAACGACGCTGCAACTTCTCCCCGTCCCAAACCCCCGCCCTTTTGTGAGTCCCTGCGCGAGCTCCCTCCTGCTGCGGGAAGAGCCCCCCCCCCCCGCTGGAACGACGCGCGCCCCGCAGGAGGACCGCCCACGCGCAGCGCGCGCCCCCCCTGGGCAAGGACCACCCTGGGTGCGCAGCAGGCCGATCGCTGCGCGCGATGCGGCAGTGGGTGCCCCCACCTCTGGGCCAAGGAGTCGTCTCACGCCCGGCCTGCGGGTCACAACTCGGGCCTCTGGCGGGCCGCTCGGGACGGTCCGGGCAGCCCCGGCAAGCCCCCCGGCGAGGCGGCCTCTCGAGGCGACGAGAGGCGAGCCCGAGAGGCGACGGACAAGCCACGACGCTCTCACGTGCAGCCGAGAGGAGGAACCAGGGGGCCGCGTGAGCGAGCGGCTGGCCGGCCCTGCAGAGGGCACGGCCCCGTGAGGGCGAGGGGGGGGGGCAGGGCCGCGACCCGGTCGGGGGAGAGGGGAGGCAGGAGGAACCTGGCAGGAAAACCGAAACGCGACCACGCCAGCACCAGCGCGAGGCGCCAAGGTATGATCCCAGAAGCTTGAGCTTTCCAGCTGCTCTCAGGGTGGAGGGCGGCTGGTTTTCACAATGTGGCTCTCGCCGTTGTGCTGCGCACGTTCGTCATAGAAGTTCGCAGCAACTCCAAGGTTCAATATGTGGATATCGTATTCGCACCGCGCACATCCGTCTCGGAAGTAAAGATCCGCTTCAAGGATTAAGGGCGGCTGGTTTTCAAACTGTGGCTCTCGCTTTCCCGCTGCGCACATTCGTCTTAAAACATTGCAGCAGTTTGAAGCATGGAGGACGCCTTCTTTTCAAACTGTGATTATCGCCTTAGCGCCGCGCGCATTGTCAAGGACTCGTAGGGTTGAACTCCCAGGAATGGTGTCCTGTCGCGATTGAGGATTGTCAGGGCACAGCAGTCACGTTGATTCGCGGTGGTGAAGTCACAGGAACGGTGTTCTAGCACGACTTAGGACTATCAGGACGCAACAGTCACGTGCATTCTCCGATGATTGACTTTCTTTCAATGGGGTGCTGAACTTCAATGACATCATTATTGTAGAGGCCTATGAAGAGGGAACTTGGAGAGAGGGTTTATTGCAACATCGTTGATGCGTCTTGGAGTTGCACTGGTCCTCCTCCTCCTCCTCCTCCTCCTCCTCCTCCTCCTCCTTCTCCTCCGTAACATGTCTCCTCAGTCGCACTCTTCATGCCCTGTCTTCCCTCTTCCCCTCCTCCCTCGCTCTCGCCTTCCCCATCCTTGCTCATAATTTCCTCCTCCTCCTCCTCCGAATCCCCCCTCCCCCCTCATGTTTTCTCCATCGTCCCAGGCCTCCCTCCTCTTTCCATCCCCCCTCTCTCCTCTTCACATCCTACGTCGCCCCCGTCGGGGCCTGTAGAAGCCGTTGAGGAGGGATGTCCGGAACCCGTCGACCTCGGCGCTGTGCTGGACGGCAGCACTCCTCCTTCGTCCCTCCTGCTGCTCCTCCTCCTCCTCCTCCTCCTCCTCCTGCCCCCTCCATCCTCCCTCTCTCTTCTCTCTCTCTCTCTCTCTCTTCTATCCTTCCCCCCGCACCGCCTGCTCTTCCTGCTCCTCCGTCGCACCCTCCACATCGTTCCACGCACTATCCGCCACCGTGCCTGCACGGAGTGGGCGTGTTAGAATGCTCGACTGCTGTGTTGGATGGTTTTTGTTTGTGTTTTCAGGGTCCCCCCCCCTTCCCACAGCACGCGCGGCGTCTTGAGACTCTCCCATGAAATTGCTCTCTGGCGATCTTTTCGGCCTCGAGATGGCCAAGATGGCGTCCCAGACGACTTCCAAGACAGCTCAGATGACAACAAGATGGCCCAAGGCAGCTCAAGAGGCTCAGAAGGCGGCCTGAAGATGGCCCGAGAGGCCCCGGAGACGGCCCGAGAGAGCTCTGAGAGGCCCTCTAGGAGAGCCCGAGGAGGCAAAAGACAATATGTGTTTGTTCCTTGGGTGTTTCAATGAATTTGAGGTGCTCGCCTAATTGGGTTTCTGACCGCCCAAGACGGCCCATGGGGGCTTCCAAGATAGCTCCAAGACAGCCCATGAGGCTCCCAAGCGAGCCCCGAGTCGGCCCAAGAGGACCCCAAGATCGCCCAAGGAGTTCTAAAGGGGGCCCCAGGACTGCTCTCAAGCGCTCCAAAATGGCGGAGGACGGGAGGAGGAGGACGAGGAGGAGGAGGAGGAAGAGGAGGAGAAGGAGGAGGGGGAGAAAGAGGGGAAGGTGGAGGATCGAGGGTGGGATATTGACAGGGACCCGAGGAGACGTAGGAGGAGGAGGAGGAGGAGGAGGAGGAGGAGGGACGGAAGAGTAAGTTGAGCAGGAGGACGAGGAGGCCGAGGGGGTTCGAGTGCCGAGGAGAAGGAGGCAGGATTGAGGATCGAGGGTCAAGAAGGGATCGAGGATCGAGGATCGGAGTGAGAGAGGAAGAGGAGACATCAAGGACGGAGAGACCGAGAATCGATGATGGAGAGTCCGAAAGAGCTCTTTCTGTGCTCACTTGTAGGGCGCCCCCCGGGTTCGAACCGGGGGGACCTCCAAGAACTGGGGAGTACCGCCCCCCCTGGGGGGGAGGCCCCCCCGGGGAGGCGGGGGGGGCCAAAAAAGGGGGGGTGGCCCCTTCTTGGCGGCGGCGGCGGCGGCCACGACGGCGACGACGATAGCGGCAGGAGGCCGGCATGCGCAAACGAGGACCACGATGAGGGCGACGGCGACGGGCGACGGCGACAGCGACGGCGACGGCGACGGCGGCGGCGACGGCGGCGGCGACAGCGACGGCGACGGCGAAGGCGACGGCGGCGGCGACGGCGACGGCGACGGCGACGGCAGCGGCGACGGCGATGGCGACGGCGACGGCGACGACGACGACGACTACGGCGACGACAACGACGACGTGGACGACTACGAGGACGACCCGCCCGATGCGGACGCCTCATCACTGAGTGGATGGTGCCCCGGCTGCCCGAACGACGTTTTCGGCGGCTATGATCGATTTCCCCTTAACTTTCTCATGTCGCACAGTGAATATTGGATTTGTTGCCCCGCAAACGCAATTTGCATGGCCCATCACTGATTACAGGTGTCATTTAATGTCCCACCCGCCCGTCCTCAGTCTTTCCGTGACATGACCCTCCCAACACCGAGTGAAGGTCGCATGTCATGTTTCACCCGCCCGATATGGACGCCCCATCACTGACTGAATGGTCCCTTTCATGTCCCGAATGGCGTTCGGCGGTTGTGATCGATTTCCTCATTGCGTCTCTTTCCGCCTGTCGCGCGCGCGCTGGGGCGCTACAGCTGGCAACAGTGCGAACAAACTCCAAATCCACATTTCAGCAGCGGCAAAGCCCCTTGTCACTACCCACCCATTTCACATACTCCACCAAACCAACCAACATTATACGCATGGATCCAACATTGATTTTCCATTTCGCTCAGCAATGGCCTGGCCTGCAGCCGCTGCCCGACAACATGTATAACGTGCCAGCGTGCGCGCAAGCCTGCGGCAAACATTGTAACATGCTCTTCGCCGCACCCCAGGTTTCTGCTTTCCCAAAATCCTTCACGGCAGAAGCGATGGTGGCGAGACGCGGTGCCAGAAATCAGCTAAGATTGACTGCGCGCGTCGGTCTCTGGAGCACGCCTGACTCTGGATGCGCCGCCCTCAGAGCGTGCGGTCAGGCACCGGCACTGGGTTCGAGCAGCCCCTTTCAGAAGCAGGCAATTAGCTGCATGCCCACAATGGCCCGATCCAGAACGGCCACAGAGGATGGGGAACCCGAAAGGTACCGATACCGCTACTCCCCGGACATCTCCCGGGGCGCGCTCTGACCACGATCTCGGGGCGAATCCAGCGGTGGCGACGAGGGCCTCCCAGGAGGCCCAAAAGGGGAAAACGGGCGGGATGTACACCCTGCGAAATGCTTAAGAAATCATAGGTTAAGAAATTCATAGCCTCATAATTTGAATAAAACACCCAGAACTTCTACTAAAGTCTTAGGATCTACTTTGAAACATTAAGAATCATCGAGACTCTGGCCGAAAACTTATGTTTTCTTAAGCATCGCCTAGGGCGTGGCGAAGCGCCGGAGTCGTGCGCGCTCCTCTCGGGAGCCCGCCCGCGCCCATTCGGGTATGGCGTGGAGGCCGTGGCCTCGAACATGTCAGCTCTGTACCTGCCCGTCGCTTCGGCGAGGCGCACCTGCCGAGAAAGGACTCCCGTGACCTGGTCCATGACCTTTTGGAGCTTATCAAACTTGGCCATCGTTCTGCCCTCGAAATGCCGGAACCATTCGGGTGCCTCCTCTCTCGCCTGCTCGCTCCAGTCTTCCGTGGCATGGCTCTCCTTCTTGTCGTCCTCGTCGCACTCCTCCTTCTCCGCGTAATTGCTCGCAGCCTCCGTGCACGTTCTTGTCCTCATCCTTCTCCTGCTCGTCCTCCTTCTTCTCCTCGTTGGCGTCGCCGTCGGGGCCGTTCGCGGGCAAGTTCGGGAACTCTGGAACAGGCAGAAGTTCCGCTGACGGCTTGTCTGTCGTGCCGGGATCGTTCATCTCCATGCTGCCTGTGCTGGGCACCCGGAGATCATCGCTGAAACCACCCTCCTTTTAGTAAGTGTCGAACAAGCGCTTGGGCTGCAAGCATCCGGTATCCGAATCATGCGGGGAAATGTCGTGAACTCCCTCTCTCAGTATCTTCTCCGGCGACGCTTCCAAGTCGTTCAACATGTTCTGGTCGGTCACCTTGAAGCCGCGGAGGGCCTCGACTTTCTGATCGATCGCTTTGAAATCGGCGAAAGACGCCCGGAACAAGAACATCTCCATCCGCTCGATCCGTATGCCGGAATTGTGCGCCATGTCGCCGATCTCGTGCAGCTCGGTCTTGCACGCGTAAAGCTTGTCGCTGGTGGTACATTGGTTGAGCACCGTGCAGACGTTCTGGAGATTGTCTGTAAGACTCTTATCGAGACCTCCATCTGCGTTAATCGTTCGTTGATGTTGCTCATGTCCCTTTCCACGGCTGCTTGGCGTCGCTCTCTCCGATCAGGCCATGCGCTCGGAACGTTGGAGGCAGCCGGCATGAGAATATCTGCGAGGAGGGGGGATGTGGGACTGTGCGAGGCAGTGCTAGCTGGGCGAATCGTTATGCTTGCTGTGCCTTGAGCCATCTCAGAAAAGCTTGAGCCAAGTCAGAAGAGCTTGAGCCAAAATGGCTACGGGTAGAGGTATGGGTGCCTCTTCCTCCCCTGCGAGGAGGAGCGCGAGGGGCGTTGCAGCCCGACGTGAGGCGATCCTGCGCGGCCAAGGCCGAGCGCGGCACGAGATGAGATCGGCGGCGGGCCATCGGGCGATCGACCATCAGCGACGGGGCGATCAGCGTGCACCGAGGCCCCCCGGCCATCAGGCCGAGCGCGGCTCCGGGGACCTCGCGGCGGAGGCTTGGAGGCAAGAGCAGCGGCGGCGGCAGAAGAAAGCGTGCGTCCGGTCCTGGAGCCGCTGGGAAGCGGCTCTGGAACCTACGCCGCGCAACAACGCGCAACGCCGCTCGCTCGGTGCCTGGCGCAGAGACGAGCGGCGTCGCGCGGTGTTGTGCGGTGCTGCGCGTTGTTTCGCGGTGCTGTGCGGTGCTGCGCGCTTCTGCACGCTGCCGCGCGGCTGTGCTGCACCGGCAGACTGCGAGATGCAGCTTCCGAAGAGGAAGGGGCATCTTTACGCACGTGTGCTGTCTGAGGTCTGAGGTCCGCTGAGATTTCTTGGGTCGGCGCTGGACTCCCCTCCCCGGTGGCGCGCGGCGCACGCCGGGGACGGCGCCGGAGGCACCGCGCCAGAGGGGGCACGGCGCCGACCCGAGAGATGCGCGCGGAACGCGGAGAAAGTGTGTGCTTGTGCAGCGTTTTGCCCTTCGATCCCAGAGAGCTCCGGCGGGTCCGAACAGGCGAGATGTTGGCGGCGCTCACAGGGGGGGTAGCACGAGGGGGGCACCTTTCTACGAAAGCGGGGGGGGGTCCTAGAAGGCAGGGGCCAGGGGCATTCTTAGGAGCACCCAAATGTTTCGAAGCAGGCCTCTAGAAGCCGGGTGGGCTTCTGCAGAGCCACTTGAACGACTAAAGCAACCGGCCCTTACGCGAGATGGCGCAGCGACCCTGCGCCGCGGCGAAAGCGGGCTGCCAGTGCGGCGCGCTAACTTGGAGACGAGAGCGCGCACGTGCGGCCTTACGCGGGCAGCTTGCGCGCGAATGTCCGCGCAGTCGAATCCGTTTGTCTGCGCCGCTCACCTGCATTCTTAAGGCGCCGTGCTGCACGGAGGAGGTGGTGGAGGAGGGGGAGGGGGAGGAGGGAGAAGAAGAGGAGGGTGAGGAGGAAGAAGAAGAGGAGGAGGAAGAGGAGGAAGAGGAGGATGGAGGAGAAAGAGGAGGAGGAGGAGGAGGAAGAGGAGGAGGAGGAGGAGGGAGAGGAGGGAGGAGTTAGGAGGGAGGAGGAGGGGGAGGAGGAGGAGGAAGAGGAGGAGGAGGAGGAGGAGGCTGACGGGTCGCCTAAGCCCTTCGGAGAAACCCTCCAGTGGAAGCAGGTGAGGAGGCAGTGCCTCGCCACAGGCCTCGGCCGAGAGGCCACGCCCAGGACGTCCAGCAGGGGCCGTCAGCCAGCGTCTCGCTGGTGAATGGCACTCAGAGGGCACCCCAAGAGGGAGCTTCCCGCAAGGTCTCCGAAGGGCCTCGGAGGGCGCCGCGCCTTCGGAGGCTTCTGGAGGAGGGAGCGGGGTATCGGGTATCGGTTGGAAGGGGCAGCCGAAGAAAGCCGATGCGGTCCTCCTCCAACTTCCTCCCTCCCCTCCTCCCCCTTCTCTCCCTCGACCTCCCGCCGTCCTCCTCCTCCTCCTCCTCCTCCTCCTCCTCCTCCTCCTGCTGCTTGTCCTCCTCCTCCTCCTCCTGCTCCTCCTCCTCCTCTTTCTCCTTCTCCTCCTCCTCCTCCTCCTCCGGCCGCTCCGTGGGTACTTATTTGCCGGCGGCGCTCTGCAAATGAAGGCTGGCGCACCCCCTTGACACACAGCGCCGGCTCCCGGCTCCCCGAGGACGACCGTTGCCTGGCGCCCTGTCCCCTTGCATCGGCCACCCCAAGGGGAACGATCCCACTCCCGCCCACCATCCCCCAATCGCAGGCGGGGGGTCTCGTCTCTCTGTGACCAGGGCCATATATATATATATATATATATATATACATCTACATCTATATATACACAGCACACACACACACTTGTTTGGCGTCGCGGTCCTGCGCGCAACGACAGGGCGTAGACGGTCGGAAAACAGCACATCGCGCGCGCGTCTAAGCCCGCCTGAGCAACACACACACACACACACACTCGCACCTCACCCTCCACCCCTCAGGGGGGCCAGATCCATCCTCGGCCCTGGCATGGTGTGGTACGCCCTCTCGGCCGAGGCCATGAGGGCATCATCATGAACCGTCCTGGGCGCCCAGGGCGCCAGGCAGGCGTGACTGTGTCCAGACGCCCTCTGCGGATGCACCTCCCCGCGGCCCTCGGCCCCCCGTTGCGTGCCCGCCTGCCCGGGCTGCATCCGCGCGGCCCGCCGCGGCGGCCGCGCGCGCCCCGCGCGGCGCCCCGCGCGGCGCCTCGCGCGACGGCCGCGCCGCCCCGCCCCGCCTCCCGCGCGTGACCCGCTGGCGCGCGGCGGGGAGCAGGGGCCCAGGGCGGCCCCGCAGAGCCCGCGCCAGCCTGGGAGGGAGGGGGGGAGCAGCTGGCTCGTGGCGCGGGGCACGGGAGGGCCACTCGGCCGGATTACGCCGAGGCCAAGCAGCCGGGCTGGGCTGGATGAGGCCACGTGCGCCGGGGCTTGGCCAAGCGAAGCCCGAGCTTCGAGCCATCAGTGTCATCTGTGAGGCGCCCACCAGGGCCGAAGTTGAACGCCTTCGGGGGGGGTCACCAGCTAGGATGGCCATTCCTCGCTCGTGGCCCTGCGTGTAGCACGAAGGGGAGGGCTGCCCGCAGAGTTGCCGTCAGCACCGGCATCGGCCAGCGAAGTGCACTTCGAGGATGGTGCCTGGCATCCAGGGAGGGCGGGGCGGAAATCCCAACCATCAGTGGCGCAGCCACGCTCTCGCACGGTCGGACCTAGGTCAGAAGAACCCTCCTGCGAGAACATGAGGCCCTCCGTCGGCCAACACAAACAGAACACCCGAGGGCACCCTCCCCATGGAGGCACGAGAACATCCAACAGGCACGAAAAACAAGAAGAGGGCAACCGCCCCAAACCTAGAAGAAGGAAACACGCCCTAAACATAAACTTTTGGCGCTCCGCGCGAATTTCTTGGATTTGGCCTGGACCCCCTCCCTGGCGCGCGGAGCGCGCCAAGGGGCGGCACTGGAGGCGCCGCAGTGGGGCGCCCGGCGCGGATCCAAAAAACCCGCGCGGAGCGCCCAAAAATTATGTTTATGCTGTGCCTCGGAACCGACCACTCGATCTTATCCCTCGGTCCGACTACAGCCGACAATCTGATCAAGGAACTTGTCACCTAAGAAATCTGGGCCAGCTTCCCGGAAGTCTCTTAAAACTCATCCTGGGCCAGGACCTGTTGCCGACGCTGGAGGGCCAACGTGCTCCAGAAACCGAGACAGCTTTCCAGCAAGTCGACCAAGAAACGCTGACCCAACTTTTCTGGAGGAGGCTTCTCAATCAGATTCGGGGGGACGTAAGACCCTGGTACAAGGGACTCGGAAATCCCCGACGAGGTCGTCAAACAAATGCCGAGGCCGAGCCTGCATTTGGACGAGGCCTCCCGCTGCAGACATCCCACGAAACTCCTACTCGTCAAAATCCGAGTCGCGGTCGTCAAAAAACGATGGCGAACCCGGGTCCTGGCAAACCCGGGTCTTACGCTCCCCCGACAGATGCTCGACTGTATACGCCCACTTTGAGTTCGAAGATCTCGCTGGCTCGAGGCGCGCGCGCGTGAGCGAGGAGAGGCCGCCCGTCGCCTGCCCGGGCCCCTGCGAGGAGGCCCAGCCCTGCCGCGCGAGCTCTTCTTTTTCCGCAGCGCCGGCGCAAGACACGCACCGTGCCAGCAGATCGGACGCTGCTCTCCTGGGGTGTGGCGGACAGTCTGTCTCGGGTCGGGCGAAAGGGGGGGATAGCAAAGGGGGGGTTTGAAAATCAGCTCACGTAGCTGATTTTCCCGGCGCCGGAGGCGGCTATGTATCGAGGAATGGGCCCCTCGGTGAGGCCGAAACCAGCTGCATGCAGCAAATTTCGTACCCCCCCTTTCCCAATCCCCCCCTTTCGTCCGGCCCGACTGTCGCCTGTGCCTGCCACAAACATATGCGGTGAGGGCATTGGGCAAGGAACCAATGGATAAGGACCCCAGGGCCTCGAAGCAAGTGGACCTTCCATCGTTGATTGGCCATGGACATCACCGCCGCCCTTACTAGAAAGCCCCCTGGGCACATTCCTTAACGAATGCCTCCACCGTAAGGGAACGAACAAGGACATAGACATAACAACTCGAAGGTCCGCGCGGGTTTCTCGGATCGGCGCTGGGGCCCCCTGGCGGCGCCTCCGGCGCCGCCCCTGGCGCGCTCCGCGCGCCAGGGAGGGGGGTCCAGCGCCGATCTGAGAAATCCGCGCGGACCTCCGAGTTGTTCTGTTTATGCAATTTTTCGTTCCCCTGAAGTACTACCCGCCACCGTGCCCTGAGTGCGCAGTAGGGCGTTCCCGAGCTCACGCAGCTGTGGGAAGCACATGGGCCGCAGGGCTCCTGTGCGGACTGGACCCCCGAATGGACGGCATTCTTTGGCGCTCCCGTGCGCTCGTGGGCGGTTCTTGGGGTGTGTGGCGTGAGCCTCCCAGAGGCCGGACGTTGCCGAAAAGCCATCGGTCGACCAAGGCCCCCCCAATCCAAGACGGCTCCGAAGACTCACAAGGAGTCATTGCGAGTCTTCGGAGCCGTCCTCGGACCAATCTTGGGAACCTTGCCAAGGACCCCCCAGCCGTCTTGGGGTCCTTGGCAAAGACCCCCCCCCCCAGACGCCCCCGGATGGAACCCCACCACCCCGGATTCCTGAGGGGTCCTGGGCAACTCAAGGGGGTATGCCTCCAATTTGGGGGTACGGCCGCAATTTGAAACTATTCGTATTCCAGGCGCCTGCGGCGGAGTTTGGAGGGATGGAGGGTCGGAACTTACTTTGAACGAGATTCCCAAGAATATCTGCGAAACAAAGCCGAACGAACCCGGTCAGTTTACGCGAGCGCCAGCTACTATAATCCCTGCAGGGCCAAAAAGCTCCCCAGAGGCCCCCACGAAAGCCCCCAAGGCATGGTGGCGGGATGGGCCGCAGGCCCCTGGATCCTGGCGCCCCCTGTTGCTGGCCAAGGGGTGCTCGGCGTGCCAAGTGGTTGGGTAGACTTCTTTGGCCCCTCCGGGACATTGCCAGTGATCTCTTGCTCAACCCGCTGGCCACCAAGGCAGACCGCACAGGAGCTTCCTTCGTCTCCGAGGCGCCCAAGATGGCCCCGAAGATGGCCTCCGAGTCGGCCCTACTGGCCTTCGAGGCGGCACACGACGCCTCGAAGGGGGCACTGATGGCCTCCCAAGTCGGACGCGACATCTCCAAGCAAGCCCCAGACTGCTCCAAGGCGGCCAAAGAAGCCTCCAAGACTCCCCATAATCGTTTCGAGAGGCCAACATCATGTCTTTTCCACAGTTGTTCAAGATTTTGAGCGCTGTCGCCAGCGGGGCTTCTGAAGGCCAAAGTCAGCCCAACAGGCATCCAATATGGCCCCGAGACACCCGACGAGGGCCCAAAGACAACCCAGGAGGCCCCCAGGACGGCCCCAGAGACCTCCCAAGAGGGCCCCAAGACGGGCCAATGAGGTCCCCGAGACGGCCTCCGGAGGCCAAGAGGCCCCTGAGAGGCCCTCAGAGGGGCCCACCCCGAGAGGCCCCAGGAGGCCCCCAAGAGGCCCGCAAAGGACTCAAGAAGCCTCCAGGGAGCCTCCAGGAGGCATCAAGAGGCCTCCAAGAGACCTTCTCTTCCTCTTCCCCGTTATCCTCCCTCTTCTCCTCCTCCTCCTCCTCCTCCTCCTCCTCCTGCTCCCTCCCTCCATCCTTCCCTCCCTCCATCTCTCTCTCTCTCTCGTTCTTTATTTTTTAATTTCGTTCTCTCTCTCTCTCTCGCTCTCTCTCTCTCTCTCTCTCTCTCTCTCTCTCTCCTTCCAACACGTGTTTCCGCAATATTGTCCGCAACGACAGGGGGAGCACACAGTCCAATAGCTTGGCCAAACATGGGCTCAATGTTGAATGTTCCCCGAAGGGTTCAACAACGGCCCCGGGAACACATAGAACAACACCATGGCTGCAAGCCGTGCCTCTGCAAAGCGCGTTCCCGCCCATGAGCGGACACCGTCACACGCACGGGTGTTCCCCGAGCCCTGTCGACCCGACTTCGGGGAACAAGCTCCGCTGGACGACCGCACCATCGCCCCCAAGAGGGCCCCAAGACTGCCCAAGAGAGCCCCAAGACGGCCAAACATGACCAGGTCGGCGAAGATGGCCATTTGTGGCCTCCAATATTGTCCTAGATGCCCTCCTCGACAGCCTTGGTGGCCAGAAATGGCCCCAAGACTGCCCGAGTGTCCTCCAGTACTGCCCCCAAGGTTGATTCAAGAGGCACGGTCACCCAAGAGGTCCATAAGATGCCCACGGAACCCTCCAGGAGACCTCAAGAGGGCCACAAAAAGCCGCCTCCTCTTTTTCGTCCTCTTCTTCCGTCTCGTCCTTCTTCTCACTCTTCTTCTCCTCCTCCTCCTCCTCCTCCTCCTCCTCCTTTTCCTCCTCCTTCTCCTCCTCCTCCTCCTCCTCCTCCTCCTCCTTCGTATCCCCCTTCTTCTTCACCCCCCGAGTGTTCCCTCAAAGGCCTTAGACCCCACGTTGGACCACATAGGCCTTAGAAAGGCGGTGGGCGGCGGTGGTTCGCCTGTGGCGTCCTCGATAATTGTCATGCATGAGGGCTAGAGCGAGGCTCGTCTACTCGCCCGCGTTAATTCAGTGCAAAAATCAATCGTGCAACGCAGAGGGGCTGACAAGCTCGACCCAGGGATCTGCACCTAAGGTACCCTGAGGCAGCCCGTCCGCGAATTGCAGCAGACGCGTGCGCTGCGAGGGCAGGGCCTGGGCTCCCGCTGCCACCCCTGCCCAGTGCGCCCTCCGCGCGGCCCCTGCTGCGAGGGAGCCTCGGCCGAGGGCGGTGGGCGGGCAGCTGCCCTGTCGGGGCCCTCGGCGCCTCCGCGCCTGCTCCGGCCGAGGGGCCCTCCGCCGCGCTCCGGGGGCGAGAGCCGCGCGCGCCCGGGGCTTGGCAGAGCGGAGGCGCCCTCGGCGAGGGGCGCCCCCACAGAGACCTCCCGAGCAGCTCCGGAGCGAAGGGGGGCCACAGAGCGCGCGCGCGCGCAGGCAGGACGGCACAGACCCGGGCGGCGAGCGCCGTGGGAAGGGAGAGAAGCAGCAGGCTTCGAGGCTTCGTGCGTGCCCGGTTCGTGCTGACTGGTTGACGCGTCTGTGAGCTTGTCTGAGTTTGCGGACGCGCCGCCCATGAGAGTGCGCAGACCAGTCAGCAGCAGACCGGGCAGCCAGTCAAGTGGAAGACATGGGAGAACCCAGAGTTCAGTGACTGATTTGTGCTGGCTGGGGCCATAGCGCGTCCAGGAAGAGATTGGAGGCGGGGGCCCCCGATGATGGACGTCCCCAGATCGCAGAGCATCGCCGACGCACCAACGATATATACATCGACGACCGTGGGGCTGGAGTTACGTTGTTCCAGGCCTGGTTGAGGAGGGGGAGGAGGAGGAGGAGGAGGAGGAGGAGGAGGAGGAGGAGGAGGAGGAGGAGGCAGAGGAGGCGGAGGAGGCGGAGGGGGAGGAGGAGGCGGAGGCGGAGGAGGAGGAGGAGGCGGAGGAGGAGGAGGCGGAGGAGGAGGAGGAGGAGGAGGAAGAGGAGGAGGAGGAGGAGGAGCAAGAGGAGGAAGCGTATCCGCGGGGGGGTGCCGAGCAGCCGGCTCCGCGCGTCTGCCACGGGGCAGAGGGTGCCCCCCCTGGACGCCCTCACCGCGCACCCCCGCGGTGCCTGCCCCGTGGGGCCCGGAAGACACTTGCATTCACGAGCGGCGAGCGCATCCGCATCCATATCATCGCCCTCGCGGTCTGGACTCCAGGGCGCGGTGCCCCGTGAATTGAGCAGGGACCGACCGTCCCGGCATTCCTATGGGCCTACCACGACGTGTTCTTGGAACCCCAGAATCGCCTAAGAACGAACACGCGGTTCATAGAACTTAAGCCCGACGTGATCGAACAAGACAGTCTCGGCCAGAAATGTTCCAAGAACACTTCGTGCAGACCACAACAGGTTCGTAGAACATTCTTTAGTAGGTCTATAGGCGGGCCAGGACGCTTCGCCACTGCTTGAGTGAATGCGCGGTCGCATGGATACGTCCCGCGTGGGGGGCATCGGCGACACCTCGCCCTGCAGCCACAGGGTCGCGGCGCCCAGGAACCCGCTCTGCGAGGCCTGTGGCTGCGGACACGCCTTCCGCCCACGACCGCCCGGGCATGGTGGGCGTGTTTTCCACCACCACCACCATACGCAGGAGGGGAGAGGGGTCCTCCTCCTCCTCCTCCTCCTCCTCCTCCTCCTCCTCCTCCTCCTCTTCCTTTTCTTCCTCCTCATCCTCCACCTCCTTCCTTTCAACCTGTGGTGGTGGTGGTGGAAAACAGGCCCCTTAGCGTAGGCTCCCAGATCCCCGACGGACTGGCAGCGTCGCCAGCGTAGGCTCGCTTCGCCCGAGTCTCGGTTCGCCTGACTTTCCCCGGGCTCGATGCGCCCGAGCTCGACTCGCTCGGCCTAGTTCGCCCGGGCTCGGTTCGCCCGAGCTCGGTTCGCCCGTCTAGGCTTGAGGTGACCGATGTCCCTTTTAGCTCTACCTTTCGCAATTCCATCAAAATCGCTTTTAAATTGTTTTCAATCGCTTCAAACGAATATTGCAATCCCTTTATTTGGTTGCGCAAGCGTATGAAAAAAAAAAAAAAAAAAAAAAAAAAAAAAAAAAAAAAAAAAAAAAAAAAAAAAAAAAATCCCCCCGACACGCATGCACGCACGTCTTCTTGTAAGGGGCAGTGATCACGGTGAAGCATGCGACGGCAGAGCTGTTTCTTCTTGTCCCCCCGAGCGCTCCAAGTGGCGCGCTGGCTGGCTCTCCCAGGCTGGGTTTGCCCCGACACGTTTTGCCAAGGGGGGCCTCTGGATGCAAGTGCCTCCCCCAATCCCCCCTTTCTCCCCCTCGAGGGAGCATCCGTCTCCCTGGGCCTTCCTGGCAGGATTTGCCCCGAGACTTCTTGCCAAGAGGGGCTTGGCGGACAGGCATAGTTTTTTTCTCCAGGGGGCCAGACCCCCCTGGAAAAAAAACGACTCCTGTCCGCCAAGCCCCTCTCGGAGCCATCCCCCTCGGAGGAGACTCGTCAAACTCGAAGTGACGTGCGCAATCCCGCCCCGCAAGCCGTAACCAACCAGGCGAGGGTCGGGTTAGCAGAACGGGATGTCGCTGGTTACGCGCACCTCGCCAGGAGAAGCCGTCACGAGCACCGTCGGCGCCCAGTCGGAACCCCTTCTACAGCGAGGGAGCTGGCAAGGCTTTGGTCGGGGCCTCGATGAGCCCACCTCCCAGATGCGACGCAAAATCCATCGCGGCCTCCAGCGATGGCCATTGAAGAGCGCACGAGGTCTGTCACAGCAACCCGCTGAGCCCCGCGTCAGCGGGGAAATCGGTAAGGCTCTGGGCGGGACCTCCTAATACTGTACTAATACGGAACCTCTGGGGGGACATCACAAGCTACAAAAAAACAGCGATTGGTCAACGATGTCTTGACGTAGACACTGCAGCATAGCATAGCAGCTGGAAGCCAGGCTGGAGCCAAGGCCACAGAGAGCTGTAGGAGAGGAGAAGGGTGGAGAAGGAGGCGAAGCCAGATTTCAGCTTCCCGTGGCCAGCCCAGTGCGACGTTTCTGTGTGTTTGAGGTGTATCATGCCAGTGCCTCCTTCTCCTGCTCCTCCTCCTCCTCCTCCTCCCCGCGCTTCCTCCTGCTGACATTTGCGTAACCAGCCCAGTGCCTCCTCCTCCTCTTCCTCCTCTCCGGCGCAGAGGCACATCCCAGCGGGCTTTTGGAGGGCGGTGTTTGTGCACCACGGCGCTGGGCCCCTGGGCTCTCCCGAGGCTGTGTTTGCACGCCACTGCGCCTCCTCGCGGAGGCAACGGCCAGCAGGCTGGGGGAGGGAGGCTTAGAGCTTAGACAGAGCACGGCGCCTCGTCCTCGGAGGCGGAGGGGGGGAGGATAAAAAATGGGATCGCCGTGCAGCTGGTGCCCCCACTCAAGGGAGGGCCTTCATCTCCATCACCTTCTTCACGCAGCCCTGGACGGCTGCGTGGACGTGGGACATCGAATCGAAAACATTGAACTTTTTCACGCTGCTGCTGACGGCTGCCTTTTTCTGGGAAGGAGAATCGTTCTTCTGGAAGTTGTAGAGCAAGCAGCCCTCCAAGGCGGTCGCGAAGCCCCTGCTCAACTTAGCGCGCGTGTCCTCGACCGACTTCTTCGCGAAGATCTCGTCGCTGAAAAACTCGGAGAGCTGAATGTACTCGTCGTAGAGGTCTTTCAGAGAGGCCAGCGCCTTCATGAACTCCACCGTGTTTAGCTTGTAGAGCGAGCCGCCAGCCTTCTTGGTGATGTCCTTCAGGTTGGCATTCTCCGTGAGCCCATCGCACCAGACGGCATCGTGCCTGCTCCCGCCTCCAAGCGCATCATTCAAGAGCGGGCCATGGTCATGTATGGGCAACTGCAGGTGATCGTGCATTGACTGGGCCATGGCGTTTGCTTTCGCTGTGGCGATGCCTCTCACGATGCCGATCTGTGCAGTACACTCGGTGATAAGCACCTGGAGGCCCACATCGGTGTGATACTTCTTGCAAGACGCCAGCACGTCCACCGCGATCGAGCACAGGGCCTTGCACTCGGACAGCTTGGGGTCAATCTCTGAATGCTGGGCGGCTTCAGCAGTCCAAGCGGCGTTCATGGTAGTGATGCGCTTGACCACCTCGTCGAAGTCAACCAGTACTTTACATATCACTTGCCACTTATTCTTCAATGTTGGGTCGAGCAAGTCGCAGAGAGCGGCCCAAGCAGCTTGGCACGTATCCAGCATAGCGGGGTCTGTCTCCAGCACGTGCTCCATCGAGGACTTGATTATGTGGGCTGCCTTCGTCTGCGCGCCCACGGACGGCTGCATGTCCACGCAGTTTTTCGAGAAGCCCTTGACCATCTCGACGCACTCGTCCCTGACGGCCTCGTCCAGGAACTTCTTGGGGTCGACGTCATTGAGGCGAGGCTCTAGCTCTCGAGCGCTCTGGATTGACATCGGCACGGGGATGGCATCGTCGGCGGCGGACGCTGCCTGCATGCCTTGGGTGACCTCAGCCAGGAGATGCCTCGCCTCAAGGGGCGCCTTCCGCCGCGCTGCGGTGTAGCCGCGCATGATCTGCACGGTTCCAGGCACATCCTCTGGTAGAACCGTCGACGGATTGACTTGCATGATGTACGCCGCCACGTCGGACATGGCTGAAGTGAAGGATTTCTCCAGTGACTTGGTTGAGGTAGCACGAGTTTTCTTCGCGATGCCTGGGATAGCCTGGAACACTTGGAAAAGCAGCGCGCTCTTCTCCGAGATGGACGATGCTGTCGAAAGCTGCACCTCCCAGTCGGCAGCTTTCTGCACATTCTCAGCGTGGGTAGGTGCAGTCTTCTTCACGTCCTTGAGCAAGGCCATCCACGATTCCTTCATCTTGATCACATCGAAAACGTCGGCGCACACGTTCCAGTCCTCCTCAGTGTACTTCGCCGTCAGCGCCCCGAATGCAGTCGCGTGCTCAGTGTCATTGGGACGGACCAAGTGCAAGCACCCCCGAACGGCGTTCAAGCACGAAAAAACGGCATGGCCGATGTGCGGATCCAGGTCGGCCTGTGCGTCGGCGAGCTCAGATTCGATGGACTGGAGGACCGTTTGAAGCACCTCCTCATTCGCAGGCTGGGCATCGAGCAGAGGTGCCATGACGAAGCCTGCAAAGATCTTCTGGTAGTTGTGAGCCATCGTCTTCGGGGAACCCTGGCAAGCGATCAACATCGGCCTCTTCGGGTCAAACTCCATGCCAGGGGTGATGTCTTCCCCCGTTTCCATCAGGCGCAACGGCATTCCAGAAGAGCCAGTCGTCCAAAGCGTGGTCGTGCGGAGCATCTCCTTGACGCAAGCTGGATCAGAAAGCAGGGAGGCGCTGATATCTGCAAGGTGCTTCCTGACGAGGGCTTGTTGCACATCAGGTGGCCACGCGGTGACGTAGTCCTTCAACGAGTCGATCTTGTCATGGAGCTTGTCCTTCTTCATGCCCGCGATGCTCCTGACGTTGGACAGCGCCTCGGCGACCTCTGCGACGTCCAGGCGTGCCTGCATCCTGGAAATGAGAGACTGGGTGGCACTGTCGACCTGGGGAAGGGGCTGCCCATCCTTGTCCGAGCCCAAGCTTTGCATGACCTCTCGGAGGCGCCTGCGCCTGTGGCCCAGACGATCCCCCAGTAGGATTACGTCGCAGTCGACGTTTCGGATGTGCATCTCATCTGCGTCAATGGCGTCGCCCGAATCACTGCCCAAGTCATCTCCCGCAC